CATTCTATGATTCTATGAAGTTACAGCACATGATACAAACAAACTCTTAAAAAGACCATAATTTGATTATACCTGTATTTCAGGGTTTTTACAGGAAAATCCAAATTTGCTTCTCCATATGTAAGGTGTACGCTTTCACTGTCCCCTGTCTGAAGCATTCTCTCTGCTTCCTGTAAATCCCAAACAAAATGTTTATAAAATTACTCATGCAGCAGAAGTCAAAGACTTAGGCTGACAGTTCATTTTCACAGGGGTAAGAGGCATTTCCCTGCAGGTACTGCAGTTTAAAAATCTTTTTCATTAGAAATGCTTTATGCATGTAAGGGGCATGGGGGGTGGGGGAAGAGGGTGTTAGAAGTTTTGTAAGGAAGTCAGCTAGCTGGTGTGCAGTCAGGTAATACTTTAATGGAAAAGTTATACAAGCTGCATTACTGTTTTATTGGTAACTAGTGGTTGGTTTTAACTACAGGTCTGCAAACACACACAACCAAAAAGTCCCTGATATGATGAACAGTCTTGTGATTAACTTCATCAGGGTGAAGATCCCTACTCCACTGCTTTTCTCCCTCATCCACATCCACCTTCTAACCTGATGAAAGGCAAAGAAAACAACATCTTGTGCTAAAGACTGCTTCTTTCCACTTTGCTTGCTAATGTTCATCACAAATAAGAGTCACAGTTCATAATAGCATCACTGAAAGAGTAACTTTTACTTGATTTAATTGCTAGTAAGAGTTCCTCTCGTGTTCAATCTCATTAGTAAATAATTTCAAAATGTGTATTTGGTAACAAGATCAAATGCTGAGGCCACTTAAAAAAAAATCTTAAGTCTCACTAAGTATTTTCTAGTAATTTACAACATGCTTAATTTGATTGTTTTTACACTTACTGCTTTCTCTTTTTTCTTTTTGTCATCTTCTTTCTTCTTTTTACTTTCTGGCATAAGATCATCAAGCCAGCTAAGCTCTCTTTTGGTGAAGCATAAATCCATGAGCTTGCGAATGAATACTAATGCTAGAACCTTAAGGGAAACAGAAATTAAATAATTTTCATGAAACTATTCAAATAAACAAAAATGCACACACACTTTCAATATATTCTGGACCTTTAACTGAAGCCCTTCTTGTGTTAAGATAAAGCTAGTGGTACCCAAGTTTAATTTCCACTTTCAATAGCTATCCACAACTAAATTTGCTTATTTTCAGGAAATGAAAAGTCCTTGTATTTCAAAAGTGTACAGCTTGTACTACACATTCCTTTGTTTCTTTCCCACTCCCTGCCTTCTTTAGACAGCAAATACATACCGAAGGGATCCTGGATCCCTGGATGATGCACGTACTCTTGGAAAATTATTAACTTGTAAAACAGATAACTTACCATCATAGGGAAAACAACAGCAGCTGCAGAGGCTTTAATCACCCACAACAGAACTAGACAAGTGAGCTGAACAACTGTAAAGATATGAACCTTCCAGAGAGGCACGTAACGTAGATAAATCAGGTCAGGTTGATGTTTGGCAGGCATCCCAAACAGTTTTATACGGTCAAAAAACTGTATTAAAAAATAAAATGATACTTCAGTTAATTATTTTATTCCCCATGGGAAGGAAATATAATATTTTCAGGGGACTCCAGAAACATAAATTAATCCCAGATAAAATACTAATGAAGGGAACTGAATATTTAAGGGTGTGGGGCTGGGGCTGTTCTGTTTGGCTGGGGTTTTTCTACCCCTCTCATTACCACTACAATATTTTAGAATATTTCAGAAAATGCGTTGTTCAGCTACACTAGTAAAATAATAAATTCAAAAGAACTCAGAAACAAAGGCACAACACAGTATCTGAACATGACACTCAGGAAATCACCCTACATACTATGCAGACAATAGGGGCTAACACTGTTGCTCACATAAAATAACGTGTTAGAGCTTCCTTTTCATACAGTGTTGAACAAAAGCAAAATGCTCATTAAAAGTCAGACTTTACCTGGATGCCTTTTAATGAAGATACTCCCATGTAAAGGAAGACACCATATAAAACTGGCATTGGAATAAACTGGGGAGGAAAACACACCCACACAGTTACTTGTGGAATCAACATGGCATAACACAGCAATCCATATTAGTGAAAGACATGGACCAAGTAATTTTTTACCACATATTTTACTTAAGTGAAATCTGTAAATGCTGAGGGTTTTATTTATAGAGAAAACACACATATCGTTGAGCAGCAAAAAATCTATAGCTAACATGGGTACCACAAGGATTAAAAAAGTAGTTAGTCTTGATTGCCCATTCATTACATCTTCTAGGTTGTAATCCAGATTTCTATTAATGTTAAGTATGCTGCTTTATGTTGCTATCTGACAGGACTTGTACTGAGACTATCAACCCCATGAAACTGACATATGAAGTTTTACTTTTGATCACCCTTCCAGTACCTCAAGGGCTCTACAAGGAAGCTGGGGGGGACTTCTTACAAGGGCATGTAGTCATAGGACAAGGGGTAACAGGTTTAAATTGAAAGTGGGGAGGTTTAGATTAGATATCAGGAAGAAATTCTTCCCAGAGAGAGTGTTGAGGCACTGGAACAGGTTGCCCAGAGAAGCTGTGGGTGCCCCATCCCTGGAAGTGTTCAAGGCCAGGTTGGATGAGGCTTTGAGCAACCTGGTCTAGTGGAAGGTGTCCCTGCCCATGGCAGGGGGGTTGGAACTAGATGGTCTTTAAGGCCCCTTCCAACCCACACCATTCTGTGATTCTAGCATTTCTGCAGCAGATGAAACAAAAAACCTACTATACCTATTGAGCTATAAAAATATGCTAATTATTCAGGGCTAAATTTTGCACCAGTAAGATGATAAAGTTTACTAAATTAATTAAGTTGCACAACTCATTTCACTGCCACTTGCAGCAACCCTCTGCAGTCTGCAAGCAAAGCTTTCTTTGCTCCTGAATTCATGGAACTCCTTCGTAATTGACAGCCATGATAAGATCCAAAATCTGAATGAAAACTGCTGCTATCAAGCTTGAACAAAAGCCTTTACTGAAACCTAAATTGTGTGGAATAGAGCTATGCCTTCAGGATTCATTACTGCTTATGTGTGTGTGTATATATATCTATATATAAAAGTTAGTGTCTTCACTGTAAGCTCTGTAATTTGATAAGCTAGTACTTCATTTAAGTTAACTCCTACTGCATTAAATCAGGATAAATCCATACGTGGAACAAAAGTACAGCAACCCACAGCTGCTAGGCTTTGTTCTCCTTCCTTCTTTCTAACAATAAAAGCTATTCACATTGAAAAAGAAAAACCTTTCACAAAGACCAAACAGTAATAATTCCATTCCTTACCCTTGGTTCCATAAAAAAATAAATGTATTAGTTTCAAAGAATCAGCTGTTAAGATGCGGGGTAAAAATCTAGCTTCAGCAATCGGCACCTTTATCTTTTGCTTGTGAGCAACAATAAAACCATTTCAGTATTTCTGATTCCTATCACTTACAGTATACAGCTGAACTCTTGGTAGCTTTTCAACCAGAGACTGTGAAATCTGAATCCTCATTTTTAAATAACTGCTACTGCCTTAATGTTGTCAGACCTTTACATTCTTTAGCACATAGAAACAAAGAATTTGTAATACATAAATAATTACTGAACTACAGCTGTGCTTTCACAGCTATATTTCTTCCCAATATCTCTTAAACAGCCATTAAAAGCTGCCTTTTTGTGAAATGATCTATCTGTCTTTCCACAGATTTTAAGAAGTTCTTTAAAGGTATCAGCAATTTTGCAATTTATGCCATATCTGTTATTTTGGCAACAAAAGCTTTTCATTTCTCCTTTTAATTACTGCATTTGAAAGAAGGAAGCAGAAGTTGAACTGACTTTACTCAAATCTAAGCAAAAACTGAAGAGAATGGTTTTCTTCCAATAAAGTCTTCAGCACATCAAAAGAAGTTTAATAAGGTTAATAAGAACAAGAAGTGAACAATGTCACTTCTGCTGATCAGAAGTTAAACCAGATGTTTCTGTTTCTTCTACTGTATTATTTTACCTCTGACCATGTAATTTTCTATCACACTCCTTTTCCCTCTCCATTTATGCAGCCACAAAAACTACAGAAGAACTATTTTTGGCAACACGGACTTGAGAAACTAAAAAATAGCTGACAAGAAAATCAAGTAACATGGACAAAGATTGCTTTCTTCACTACTCACTACATTTCTAACTTACTCAGGTTTCATTTTCTTACATGTCCCCTCATTGCTTCTCTTCATCTAACACCTGCTGTCAATAACGCCATTTGAGAATGAGTCCAGGCATATTTTACTTAACATAATAAAACTTCCTAACATTATGAAATGCTAAGTCACAATATTAAAATCAAAAGCACAAATAACAAAAATATTTTGGAAAAAAACTGTCTTTTACCTTTAACACTGAGGTCATGAACACTGACAGCCCCATCAGGACAAAAATCATCAATCCTGTCACTCGTTGCTCCCGGATTCCCAAAAACTTGGGTTGCTCTCCTGGTGCTGAGCATTCAGATTCAACTTTCAGGCTATTAACATGACTTATAGACAGGACAGTTGCAGCAACAAACCACGGTAAGCCCATGATAGAACAGATCCCCAGCATAACACCAACCATCAGCAGATCAAGATGATAACCACAGCCTTTCTGTAAAATTAAGCCAACAAATCATTTTACAAACTTCCTATTCATACGATACCATATTCCTAAGTTAGTAAATAAAAGATAACTACAAAAGGTAGATACTTTGAGTGTCCAGAAAATCATATTTGCTCTTTATTAGTCAATATATACATTTATTTAGCAGCTGTTGGTAATGTTCCTTAGACTTGCAGAATTAATTTGATTTAAAATAAAACTTCAATTACACTACATTAAAGTTTTATGAAAATGACTTTTACCTTCAGCTTATGCTCTTTCCTGTTTATAATAACAGCTGTTATTTGTTGATCCATGAAAATGAGAATGGTACAGAGTAAAGCAGGAACAGCAGCTATCAAGAGCGTCCACCAAGGATTGCTTCCCAGAGGATCTATGAACCATCCTCGGTCTTTTCGGGTGGGCTGGAAAAAAACCCACCACAAACCAAACATCAGTGATAAGAATTAAATGACTAAGACAAAATGCAGATTTTATTGCTACAAACAGCTACAGCTAAATAAACAGATAACTATCCTATTAAACATGTTTATATTTTTTTTTTCCAATGGCTCTGATCACAAGACTTATTCAGCTATTACATGTGAATGTGACATTTATATTAAAAACAACAGATCTATTCCATTCCTTCCTTTCTGCACAGGTACACACAAGAATGCTTCCTTTTCAGCAATATAGTATAAAGCATGGTCTCTTCTGTCAGATGAGACATACATCCAAAACAGAGAAGGCAGCTTACTTCAGCAACTACGTTTTAAGTAAGAAAGATAAATTTCCTGTTTCTATACAATTCAATTGTTCTACTGTCTGCGAAACTGCAGGCATTTAAAATGCTAAGATTTGTAAACATTCCATTTCTTACTTCAAATTTCTCTGGAACATGAAGCTTAGGAGAAGGTACTCCTACAAGATAGTCAATCAAAACCATGATAACTATGGTCAGAAATACTGCAAAGTCACTGATGGTTGAACGCACCTATAAAGAAAAGACTTACGTTAACGCTTGCTTTTTCATCATTGTAATCTGCATGTATAGAAAGACAATTTTCTCCCCTATGAATAGTGAAGTCTGTCTATATTATACCACACCACTGCACTTATATATATTTTCTATTTTTATTCTGAAAGTTAAGCTGCCTGCCAGTACAGCATGAAGTTTCAGAAGGTAGGCATTCTGTACAACTGTTCATGCAATTATCTCATTTTAAATGATGTACTGCAAGCAGCAAATTACTTCAAGTAACTCTTGACTCCTCTTCCTGTCCTCTCAGCCCTACTGGGATGCTGGGCCATCACAGCTAGTCCGTTTAGCTGATTCCAGTAACATCACTGAATTGTTCCAAAAATCAGTATTCATATATTTGATGTTTTAATACACAGGAGGCGAATAATTTGTAACAGACTCAGGTTATCAAAGCTGACTTTAGGAACACATTGTTGGGATGAGATGAGGTTTAGAAAAGATCTAACCACTTTATTTTGGCTAGCAGAAGTAAGATGGGTAAATCAGTCCAAGGATAATCACTATATTCACCTCGATTACAAATAGTAATTCCCTGAGGAACTGATCAGAAACCTTCATGCGCCAGCAGTTTGGGGAAAACAATCAATTGTTCTGTACATCTAGGTGAGGAAAACAGCAGCAGTGTTATCTCTCCAAATGATACCTGGCAATACCCATTAATATGGGGAGACAGACTGCTTAGGTCTTCTAGGGTTTAGAATATTTTCTCGTTAACTATAGGAAAGTAGAAGGTAAGCAATGAATTTTCAGCAGCCAATTTATTTACTGTTTTCATTTTTGGTACGAATAGAAAAAGAAACTAAAACCATAAAATTAGCTGTCTTAAATCTCTCAATAAAAAGTTCTGAAGCAAACTAAAAAATTTAACTCTGTTAAGTTATACCAGTGAATTTACCACAAGATACTAATACTCTAATCAGAATTACCTTTGTTGGGAAATAGCGTTTGGTCTTGAATTGCTTAAGGAAAGAGGAGAGGAAAAATGTTGTAAAGAATAATATGACAGACCAGAAGAGAACATCTGGAATATATGGTCTGTGATGGCCACAAGCTGATCCACGAAACACACCATGGAATTCTAAACATTCCTGCAAAGAGAAAAGCTCCTTAAATTTCTGTTTTATTCATTCAGTACATTCAAACTAACTTGTAGCCTTTTGATACTAGAGACATCTGAGAACTTTCACAATCCCAAAAAGGGGTTCTTTCCTTCATCACTACCTCATCCTGAAATGTCCAAAACATGTGCTGTCTGTTTCACAGGAGCCACAGTATCCATCAACAATTATTTCAGGATGCCAGAGTGCTGGGAGGTGCCCAAAAGAAACAAATCCTTCATAATTACCTCATTTCTATTCTATTCTATTCTTCATTTCTATTCAATTTCTCAAAGCATCACAAAATTGAATGCATAAAAGAAGACTGAGGACTAAGCCCAGGAAAAGCAGAATATCCAACATCAACTTTCAAGCTCAGAATGTTTAAAAAAACCATTTATCCTCAGTTTCTCCCACCTCTTTATTCTTGACTTAGTTTTATCCTGCTACAGTTAATGGAAAAGAAAAAAAAAACCACAACACTATATTTACAAAATGAAATTACCCTAACTGTAGAAAAAAAAAAAAGGTAAGTAGAAAAGCATAGTGAATAATGAATTTGAATAAAAACCACAGACAATCCCTATCCAAAAGGCTCACTGAAATACAAAGTAAAGAAAATAGGCACGTGGAATACAAGTACAAGGAAACAACAAGGCAATAAATCAAATAGTTGGAAGCATCACTGCCACAACCTAGTAGTTAAACAAGTTAAGTAATCGAAAACTGAACTTAGGACAAAAGTTCTCCCCATTAGCAATCTACTTTGATTATACACCTCACCAAATTCTGGTCAGTTCTGTATCTCTGGGGAGACTAAAGATGCTTAAGAGAATGAAAAGGTATACAAAATAAATAACAAAAAGAAATATAAAATGCAAGTTCAAGAGAAACTACCATCCTAGGTGATTATGGTAGATGAAGAGCCATTGGTGGTACACAGAAAACACTACAGCTAACACCAGAGTTCAGCACTGAGGCTTTTCATAGTACTTTCGCTGTGCAAAACACCTTTTACTTTCAGTGTGAACATCTAGGCTCACACGCAAGGACAGCCCATACACAGCTATCCACTGCCTTTCCAGATAGCCTAGAATGGCCACAGTAGGCACGTGCAGCTAGCAAATGCAATAAAAGATCTATAGCAGATCCAAATAATTCAAGATTTAGGGGGAACCAAATGCCAGTGTATGCACAGCGGTTGCAGACAGTTGCATTTAGGCAACTGAATCCCAACCAAAGAAATACTAACCAGCAAACATGCTTCTTCCTAAAAGACTACAATATCACTTCCACATGGTAACTTTCCTCCTCTTCACCTACTCACAAAATCAGATTTTTTTTGCAGGTAATGCTTTCAAGCTCATTCCTCCAAACAGCTCTTCTCCTTTTCTTTTCACCTTCAATTTTCCAAATAATTTTCTTCTTCCAATCAATGTTTAGGTAGCTCCTTTGATTCTGTTATAGTTTTATACCAACATCAAACAAACTAATGAGATGTGTTTGCTACCACACTTCAAGCGCAGATTCCATCTTCACATCTTCTTAAAAATCTTTGGTCATCCCTTCCAGGAAACTGAAGGAAGCAACCTCCTGTTTATTCCCCTCATCATATTCATCTGCACATCAGAAAGATGACTGTTCTACCTACCAGGATTAGAGTGGCTACCTCAAGTAGGCATTTATGATATTAGCATTTACTGCCATGGACTCACTCATCCAAATCACTACAGTGACTGTTTAAAGCCTTATGGGATGAATGAAAGAGTTCAAAAATACAGTTTTGAAGAAAAGCGTCCAGGTTCAAATTAAAAAAAAGAAACCAGATGAAAAACATTAATCAAGGCTGGTCACTTTTTTTAATACGTACATACAAATACACACACACAGAGCTTTTAGATACTCACGGAAACTGTGAGGTTACTCCATGCTATATTTTCCACAGACTTATTCATACTCCTCCACACCTGCAAAGTTTCATTGCTGGGTGTCTCAGGCTCAGCACACACACATCTGAAAGGAAGGAAAAAAAAAATAGTAATTTACATACTTTTGAGCCCTATATGCCAAAATGCAGCAATTTGCAGCAACTTCAAAAATCCCGAAGAGGTTAAACCAGAGTTTAGCCCAACCTTCTATGAAAGAAGCAGAGTATAAGATTCCTCCTTACATGACATGAACTAGGATTATTGCAGGGGAGGAGGCGGGGGCAGATTCAGATGCATACAGGGAAATAAAGAATCAAAGAAGCCACTGCTCAGGAGGTTTAACAGATTGGACCAAAACCCCAAACTATGTATTTTAAAGAAGCAGAAGGAAGCAATATGTTGACTTCACTATATGATTGATCTGTCAGTTTTTAAATACAATGACACGTGAAAAATAAAATTAAATAGATAATATATGTGGACTACAAATTGTGAATAAAGATGAAGATAAAAATCCAAATGACACCCCCTTCCAACAACGCTACGCTAAAATATATTGTGTTATTCCTAAAGATTTCTATGTAATTGGTCTAATTTGGTTCAAATAGTTTTCTATGGCTGTGTATAAACTAAGGATTTTTGATTTCTATACAGCATAACATCCCACAAGGATTCAAACTTCAATTAGTCCTACTGCACCCCAGTGTAAGAGAAAACAGAAACTGAAATAATTGTTTTAAAAAATGCGGCAGATGACAGTTTCAGCAACTTATTTTCACTTTTTGAACAAGTGTCCCTCCTCCTGCAGTGGTTTGCAAACTTGGACTGCAGAATCCTTTCTGTCAGACTGACAGAAGCACACATCAGTAAAAACCAAACACTTTGAATATTGATTTAATGGGATGTTTTCAGATAAAGTTATTCAAGTGCACCAAACTGTAACCTTAACGTGTAAACATTTACGTAGAAGAGGAGAAACAGACAGGCTGTAACATGAACAAGCATGCCGAAGGAAGTGACAAATTTCTCAATGAATGCAATAAAGATAAGATGCCACCATGTAGGTAAGTGGAAATCCAGGCTCTGGAATAAAAAAACCCAGAGAATCTAGGAGTATTTGAGGCTGCCTCCTTGCTCACTTACCTGAAGATGCTTGTGCGGCACCCTCTTCCCCACTGGGGGAACACAGGGAGGGGGAAGAGAAAAAGAAAAAAGGCCGTATTTCCTGCAACTTTGTTAAAAAGAAAAAAAAAAAAAAAGGCCAAACCAAAGATGAAATCTGTGGCACGTTATGGAAGATGTGTGACATCTCACAGAGCTAATGCAAGGAAATATCACACCCTACTCTGTCCACCCTCATGGCCTGCCGACATCAGCAGAGCAAAACACAATCAGGCTGGAAGACCTACAGAACAGTTTCTGTCAGATACTGAATTTAACATGCTCACATAGGTGTCCAGTGAGGTCCCAGAGCCACTGAAACAGAAGGATGAGCTGCCAGGAAAAAGGGGGAATTAGGAAGCGAGCGTACTCCCATGGACCACTCGTGGCAACGCAGCCTGGTCTTAACAGCTGTTAAGACAGGAAAGTGAGTGTAAATGACACGAGAGAATGGAATACTAGAGAGTGTGTTTGCCCAAAACTGATCACACTTAAGATGATAATCTGGGGCCCCAACACAAGAAAGTTATCAACTGGTTGGAGCAAGTCCAGAGGAGGCCACAAAGATGCTCAGAGGGCTGGAGCCCCTCTGCTATGGGGACAGGCTGAGAGAGCTGGGCTTGTTCAGCCTGGAGAAGGCTCCCGGGCGACCTTATTGCACTTTCCAGTACCTGAAGAGGGCTACAAGGAAGTTGTGGGGGAACTTTTTACAAGGCCTACAGTGACAGGACAAGGGGGAACGAGTTTAAATTGAAAAAGGGCAGATTTAGATTGGATAATCGGGAAGATATTCTTCCCAGAGAGGGTGGTGAGGCACTGGCACAGGTTGCCCAGAGAAGCTGTGGATGCCTCATCCCTGGATGTCTTCAAGGCCAGGCTGGATGAGGCTTTGAGCAACCTGGTCTAGTGGAAGGTGTCCCTGCCCATGGCAGGGGGGTTGGAACTAGATGATCTTTAAAGGTCCCTTCCAACCCAAACGGTTCCGTGATTCTATGATGATGACCATCAGCTGAATTAAACAGTAACAAAGGAACTACAGAAAGACTTCTTTTTTGGAGGTGAGGAAAAAAAAATACATTAATCATCCCAAAAGGAAGCACCCAAGAAGCATGAATGTTTATAATATTGAGGAGAGATTTCGGAGTGGAAACACAGTAGTTAAAACCAGAATTCACCCCACATGTGTCATGACCTCTGCGTCGGCCAGGCAGAGCAGCCGTCCACCCTCCAGCCAGGGACTGACTGCAGGGTGCAACGAGTGGGGACACTGCCACCTCCGGTGCATGGACGTGGCCTCACAGGGGGCTCCCTTACCAGCAAGTGGCTCCACAGACTACAGAGAACACCACAGGTACAAATAAATATACACACATCTCCAACAGGAGGGGAGCACCAGCAGAAGAACCTCAGAGATGGTGTGTGACTGTAACCCACATTAGCAGGATCTCCTCCATCTGTGAGGTGTCAGCTATTAACCCAACTCATTGTGTCTCATGAAACTATACTATAAGCTTGAAAACTCCACACTGAGCAGCACAAGATCAAGCAACATTTCAGCGTATCATCAGAAACTAAAAATACAGCATCAAGATACATGGTATAAGAAGTACTCGGTGCTAATTTCACCATATAAGCAAACTCTTTAATTCAGAAGTGGTACGGCCACACACCAAAAGGTAGCATACAGGTTTGTGTGGCAAAGTTTTGGTAGCAGGGGGGGAAACAAGGGTGGCTTCTGTGACAAGATGCCAGAAGCTTCCCCTGTGTCCAACAGACCCAATGACAGCCTGCTCCAAGAGGGACCTGCTGCTGGCCACGGCTGAGCCCATCAGTGATGGTGGTAGTGCCTCTGGGGTAACATGTTTAAGAAGGGGGAAAAGTTACTGCACAATAGTTGTAATTGGAGCGAGAAAAATAAGAATGTGCAAGAGGACCAACATCTGCTGACACCAAGGATCAGTGAATAAGGAGGGAGAAGCACTGCTTCAGGTTCCAGAGCACAGATTCCCTGGTAGCCCATGGTGCAGCCCATGGTGAGGCTGGCTATGTCCCTGCAGCCATGGAGGGTCACAGGGTAGCAGAGACCCACCTGCAGCACAGAGAGGACCCCATGCCAGAGCTGGGGGATGCCCGAAGGAGGCTGTGACCCTGTGGGGGAAGCCCAGGCTGGAGCAGGTTTGCTGGCAGTACTTGTGACCCCACAGGGGACCCGCACTGGAGCAGGCTGCTCCTGAAGGACGGGACCCACGCTGGAGCAGTTCATGAACTGCAGCCTGCGGGAAGGACTCACATTGGAGAAGTCCATGGAGGACTGCATCCCATGGGAGAGACCCCACACTGGAGCAGGAGCAGAGTGTGAGGAATCCTGCCCTGAGGAGGAAGGAGCAGCAGAGACAGTGTGTGGTGGACTGACCACAACCCCCAGTCCCAGTTCCCTTGTACCACTGGAGGGGAGGAGGTAGAGAAACAGGGAGCATAGCTGAGTCCAGAAAGAAGGGAGGGGTGCAAGGAAGATGTTTTAAGATTTGGGTTTTGGTTTTCATTACCCTACTCTGATTTGATTGGCAGTAATTTGAATTAATTTTCCCCAAGTCCTCTGTTTTGCCCATAAGAGTAATTGCAGAGTGATCTCCCTGTCCTTCCTTCAATCCATGAGCCTTTTGTCATATTTTTTCACCCTGGTCAGCAGAGGAGGGCAGTGACAGAGCAGCTTTGGTGGGTACCTGGCCTCCAGCCAGGGTCAACCCACCACAGGTAGATAATGTACAACTGCCACAGAAGTAAATCAAATTTAAAAAACCAAAACAAACAAAAAAAACCCCTACGTAGCTTGCTTACTGCATTCCTTAAATGAAATGAAGTTATTTTTGTACCGATAGCTACTGTGATGAACAGAAATAATAGTTCTGCTTAGTCAGGCAAGAAAAAAGGCTGCGTGGTATTTTCTATTACTCTCCTTTCTCTCAAAAAATAATTTTTTAGAAGTCACATATTCCCCATAATTACAGTAGAAAGCAACACTGTTTAAACATGTTAACTTCCTATTCATAGCAAGTGAAAGTTGAAGCAGGTCTTCATGCCTCAGCTACCTGGAAATAATCCTCACCCAGGTAGTGTAAACTATCATCATTTCTCAAAGTGGCAAGGCAGAACTTCTGTTCTGACCTTTAATGAAGCTGCAATTACAGCAGGCATTGTCACAGCCCCTCATCCCTTCCCACCACCCATAGCTAACACAGAAAATTCAATTCCACAGCATCCTGAATAGAATTTTTCTGAGGTTTCTCATGCCCGTACCACCCCCAGCATTCCTCCCAACCTTCCATGGAGAGGCACACATTGCAGTTTGGTAAACCGCGTGTCTCTATACCATAAACATTCTCCCTATGCATTTTACTAACAGACAAACTTGATACTTACGAATAAGAAGTCAGTTTATCCAAATCAATGTGCATATTGAAGGCATACATTTCTCCCAAATCAAAAAGCTTTTCCAGTGCCTCATAAATAAATATGATGCATATAAGCGCTGCAAAAGCTTCCTCAGTAAATCGAGTGATGTAACACACAAGGCTGCTGGCATCTGTGGCTACAAGCACTATGCATAAAAATGCAGTCCACAGACCAATGCTAGTTCGCAGGGAGAGGTAGGAAAGATCATAATCCCTGTGTGAAGAAAGAAACAAAAGTATTAACTGAGCCAAAAGTCACCTATATTCTATTTGAAAACAGATACTGACATCAAGCTCTATAATAGGTATTCACCACTTTTCTCATCCTTGATGTTAGTTCTGAAGGAAGCAGAAACTTTTCTGTCTCATCTTCCATCAAAAAGCAAAGCAATGCTGCAATGTGCTTCTAGGACTGAGGGTGCAGCTATCTAGCTTGGGAAGCATCATGGGGATGATCTTTCCAGAACCATCCACATACTTTCTCCTAGAGGGCAGATCCACCCGTTTACCCCCACAGAATCAAAGCCAACATTTCTACACAGTCAGAATGCAGTAAGTCCTAGCCACTTCTTGTCACCAATTGCTTAATTAAGGCTCACTGGTGCCTCAGTTTTGCCAAACCACATGCACCTCTCCAACCCTTGCTGCTGCATTTGCATCTTCATGGACATCCACTTCCAGCACACATCTGCTCTCAGTCAGCTACTCTCACAGGCTAGAAAGTGAGAAAGTTCTTGAAGGTAATGCAAAAACATCACTTACCTGCAAAATTTAAATAATATTTTTTCAAATACTAGAACTGGTCCGGTGCTCCCCAAAATAGTAAGAGGTTGCCCAGCAAAGAGAGAATAGGCAATCCCAGTTAATGAGGCTCCAAAGAGAGACTCTATTGCACTCTGTTTGGGGGAAAAGAAACTGCTGTAATGATGCTGCCTTTCAGGTTAATATTTTGCATCACATCTGTACAAATACAGTTTTAAGATGCATTAACTTAGAAACAAGACAAGATGTAAAAACATTGCAATTAATATTGATGTTTGAGACAACAATAACACAGTTTTGCAGTAACAATACCATGGACAAAAGATTTTGAAAAACTTCACTCCTGAGAAACATAAAGCCATCCAAAACATCACGAGAACAAGTTACTAGTCCTGCTAGCTATAGAGGAAAAACATACCAACAATTACTACAATTTTTTTAAAAAAAGTTACTCAAAGGTTTATGGGAAGAATTATCTGTCTCTGTAAAGAAAATATATATATATAAATATATTGCAACATACCTGTACCAAAACATGATACGGTGTGCCATATCAAACCTACATCAGTCAATCAAGCATTACAAAAGAAAAAACTGACAGGCGGAGGTGCAGGGGAAATTAACTGAACAATATTGGTTTATGTATACATGACACCAAAAATAGATGAGCAGTAAACCAATGTCCCACCTGGTAATGCATTTCTTTTCACTGAAGTATGATATCTACTTCAGTTCTTGAATTAAATGTTTCGCTATGACATTTTCTGCTAAAAAAAAAGTTGTGATCCACCTCAAAAGAGAGGGGCAGGACTTTAGATCCTAAAATTATACTAAAAAGTTACTTGAAAATAGTTAACTACACCATTTACAACTACGAAAAGTCATGGATTACACATTAAATGGTTTCTGGTGGAATTTTTAAGTGTTTACTCTTTCTCAATTATGCAAGGCTAAGAAAACAATATTTATGCAAACTTAAGCTCCAATTCAGGAAAGCATCTAAAATTGGACAAAATGATTTGCTGAACTGGGGCTATTAAAAATGAAAACAAGTCCTTTTTTTCATTACATTAGGAAAAAAAACCTCCCAGTCTCTAGCTCTATTACCTTTGAATTAGAGCTTTTGGTTAGTCAATGCATTAACCTTGGGGCTCTCCATCAAGGTGGCAGGGACAGGAGTACTGTGGAGGTGATGACCTCTGGGAATGTGAGGGAAGGTTTCAAACACAAACTGTGTACCTTACAATGTCAGCTACTTGTGCTTGAACATGTGTGTGCAGTAACTAAATTTTATATTCAATGATGCACACCAAGTATCTGAAGGCAGGAACAAACCCGCAAACAATTCCAGACAGCTAAAAGAAAGAAGGTGTTTAAGAATCAAACTTTAAAAGGAGCATATTTTCATAATTACACAACATATACTGGAAAAATTATATCAACATTTTGATAACCATTCCTACATTTAGAGTGGCAAAATCAGCACATGGAAAATATGTATTTGATATCAGCTTGAAGTGCTACATCAGTAAACAAATATCTGAGAGAACAGCATTACTTGAAACAGAAAAAAACAGTTAACTGAATTTTAGTATAGTACAAGCCTAAAAATTTGCTCTAAGTATCAAGAAGAATTTCGTAGCATCACAAGCTTTACCAGAATCTTAACATTTGTAAAGAACGTGTCTGAATACACTTTTCCCTCCCCAAAAAGGACAGAGCCCTGTTTCTTCATGATAGATTTAAAAACAGAAAATACACTTCAAACTAGTTTTACTCAAAAGCCGATTGACACAAACACTACGTTCTTAACATTGCTGATGTCAAGTATTCTTTCCCTGCTCCAAAAACCAAAGCGCAACGGTATTTTGGTTAAAAAGGTGCTGGTGTTCTGTACTGCCCAACAACACCACCAACATTGTGTACGCGTTTGGTTTAGATTCAAGTCATTTACAACGAAGGGTATTTTCTGCTTATAAACCTTAGCCACCTTCTTTTATTGTTAACAACATACCATCAGTGAAAGCATATACAGATCTGTCCGTTAGTTAAATACACATTTGACTGCTACCCATACACTGCAGGCATTATCATCCTCGTAGGCCTACTACTCAAGGCCAGTACGTGTTCTTGGCTATCCACCTTGAGCCTCCGACTTTGCCTAAAGTAGGCCTAGTGGGATGGTGCACCTTTACTGCTACTTGGTTTTTAAATAGCCAAAAAGAAGGCAATGCAAGCCCTTTCTCAATTCATGAAGCCATTCATCCAATAAGGCAGGATAAACATTTTTTACCTCCACTGTGCATCTTCTCCTGTTCACATGGGTTCCCCACATTTTCCACAGCAATTACCTTTTGGGGAAGATCTGCTTTGGGGCAGGCTAATCAAGTGCTGTGGGTAAATTCTTCAAATACAAGTATAAATAAATGAGACAAATGCACACAGTGACTTGCCTCTGAAGGTCTAAAAGCCTGGCCGCTACCATTCTTTGTACTCACTATTCTGCCTTGTGTAGCTTCTCCCAGGAGCCCTCCAAAAGTGATTACAGGAGACATACAGGCACAGTATAGGAAAAGAATCGAGGCCAGGCACTGCAGGCTTAATGCATCCTTGAAGTCACTCAAGAAAAAAGGTGCTTTCCTTTGGATGTCAAGTATCAAACCACCAAAAAGCCTAAATAGGTGAGATGAAACTCGTCAAACTGTACACTAAAGGATTCTAGCTAGTTCAAAACTATGGGCTACACATGACTGCCAGTGCCTATTGCCAGCACAAATTAGCTATTTCATAATCCAGATTTAAGCATAACAGTTTAAAATGTATATGAGAATCTTATCCAATCCAATTCAGTAATATTCCAAATATTATCAAGCAGATTATCAACATTTTTAAGAGCTGGCTAGGTATTTTTGTATATGGGCTAGATACTGAAAAAAGTATCATTGCAAACCGTTTTACCTAAATCATGTTTTAAGTCAAATCTGTCATGATATTCAAAACAAGGAACAGAAGAAATATGCTAAATCTCAACCAAGACCACTGTGTTGATACATTTCAGTATTACTACTCCAGTAAGTAGTTGTAGTTTTTTGAATTCTCTACACACATATGGTCAGTTCAACAGGGTAAAGTTATTAGCAAGAATATTACTATTAGCAGGAAACTTACTAGCAAGAAATTAAAAAGCTTTTTCAGTTTCAAAAAAAATTTCAAGACTCCAAAATACTATGCAAAATTTGCCTGTACTAAAAACTTACTTCCTTTTGAATTATAAAAAAAATATTCCATTCCTAAGAAAAACAATAGCCTCATCTAGAGATAAATCTGTGGGCAGAAATGAACTTCTCAGTTCCACATACGGTCTGCAAAAAGGCAAAAAGTAAATGCAACAAAGCCAAAATGGTAAAAATCAAATGATGCGAAGTCCTTCTTGCAAAGGTATGAGAAAGATGCATCTCATTTGAAAGTTTATCATTTTTGGGATAACAACATTGCATACAGTTTTCAGAATTTCTCAGTTGATTCAACCTCTATTCACTCATAGGAGATATTCAGTTTTAATCTTAACCAGATATTTCCAACCTTGGGTACTTTTTTTTGCAAGTATTTCAGAATTAACAGAGAACAACAATGCAATTCAACTGAAAAATTCCTTCAAAGAAACCTAATCAAAACTGAAACCTAACCAATACTAGAGGGTTGGGGTTTTTTTTGCCACTTTGTATTTCTTGGTATTCCTTTTTGTACATGTTTAATAAAACAGATTTGCATTAATGGAAATTTTTAGTACTTAGCCCAATACTGAAAATTATATAATCCTGCTATAATTATGATAATTGCATGCTCTTGACAATTTAAAATTAACACCCATCTCTTAAAAGTCAGTCAGTTAAATTAAGCAGCATCTTATATGAAAACCTTTGCAAATGTGTTGAGAAACATTGCCACAGGCTTGAAAATGCTTTAAGCAAATTGGTATTTATAGGCAAGAATCCAACACTTGAAAAGGTAAAAGGATGCCCTCTGACACTTATACCATAATTTTTTATGTTCATATGTCATCATTAAAAATCTGTGAAGATTTATCACTAGCAAGTGTTTAGGGAAGTAAACACACCTTCCAGTTCTCTCAAGTTCAGGTCCAGCATGATGGCCTTCTTCTTTGAGAGTCTCTCCTGTAGGAGTAGATCCATTTGGAAATTTAGGTACCTTCCTTTTCTCCTACAGAGGGGGGAAAAAAAAGAAGGAAAAAAGAAAAATCATACTTCGAGACTGCCTTTACACTAAAAAGTGTAATTCAAAGACAGCGTGCAGAGACTCTATGCCTTCCAAACCTTTTCATATTCGCAGCTTATCAGCAGTCCTCCATTTGCCAAATTCATCTTTTGTTGAGTACAGACGACTAGAACTGTACAACATTCCCAAAAAGATCTTATTAGTACCTTGCATAACAATATCAAACCTTCCTCTTTCTACAAGCAATGTGTCCCTGAGACATGATGAAACAACACCCACCTTTTCAACACACAGCAGAGGCTCAACCACAAGGCCTAGAAATCTTTCGATGCTTTTTCTTGGTCATTTCCAGAGCAGAAGCCTCTGGCTTCTAACAGAAGCTGACCTCACTTCTTGACACACACAGTGTTTGAAGTATAAATGAGAAGTCATTCCTCTTGAGCAAGCTGCTCACAATCTCCTCATAAATCTATCAGCCAACCTTGCCTTCCATAAACCCCAGGAGCCCTGCTTATTTTGGAAACAAGTTAATTGGTAGCCTCAGGCTATTCATGAATGAACTGCACTACTGCCACCCCTTCCCTTCCACCCACTCCCCCCCAGCCACCATGGGATTCCATTATCAATATCAACCTTCTGAAACAGGAGCACTGGTGTCTCCCCCACTTTTGATCCTGGCAGCAGGGATTCCCCTCAGTTGTGAAGAGGGAGAAAGGGAAGACAGAGTCGTTCTTAGGTTCAGCTTCCCCCGGCTCCCTTTCTAAGCTAGTATCACAACTGAGCAATACAATCTATCTCTGTTTCATACACATTCTGTGAACATTATACACTAGCCACTATACACGAAAACATTTCCATCATGTTGTAGGCAAATAGAAGTTTGCATAAGAATTACAATAGTCCTGTTGATCATGGTTAGATTAACAAGAAAATCTGTAACATGAACTCAGGTACAATTTTGGACCAATACTCCTAGATATCACATGAACTCATTTCAGTATTCCAAAAGGAAATACGGTGATTTACTTAAAATTTACTTAGAATTTTACTTAAAAGCACAGCAGGAAACGGATTAACACTTGGTTTTTTAAACTTAAAAGGACAATCCACTTTTTTCCAACTGGATGGGGGGGGGTTCCTGATGCTTTACTGAAGTTCATATTCAGTGCACAATTTACTTGCATTTTAAAATGACATTTTTTAAAGTAAGAATCATTGAAGATCTCTACTGGACTTTTTTTTCCTTTTACCTGGGAAGGAACACTTTTTGGAGGCTCAATTCGTATAGATGGATCCCATTCTCCTGGAGGCAGGACTGTCACTTGGTCTAAAAATTCATCAATTCCTGACAACAAATCATTTCGGTCTTTTGCTTTATAGGCAACATCATGGAAAACCTACAAGAAGAAAGTATCCAACTTTTTTTTTTTTTTTTTAAGAGAAACTGATTACAAGGAACACCTCATTATTTTTTTTATAAAGGCATGTGAAATTTTGTAAAGGTCCTCAAAAGTTAGGCTTTTATTTTGCTTGCATACTTTTGCATTAAGAACTACCAGTATGCACATCCTTATGGAACATAAAATAAGGAAGTTATACTTTCAAACTCAAAAGGAACATTGAGTTCATTTATACAATTAATTTTAAAAGTTAATCTTCAATATTAAATCAACTTCATGTACTATTGCCTGAATAACTCTGCCCTACAGCCACTGAAACACTATTCTGTGCTAAATGAGGACAAAAATACTTTAAGTATCCTTAATAAGCTTCAAACCAAAACACAAGTTTAAGAATTGCATCTGTATATCTCTATTGATTGATTAATTTTGAAATACTTAAAAAGCACATGAAAACAATCCTCTTACTACTCAAAAAAATCCTACGCCGTGTTACAAACTACTACAAACTCCAAAATGACAGATAGTATTAAAAAAAAAAAAACACCCACAACAACACACCACAATTCCTGAATCCCAACATATATTTTATACACAGAGGGAGAGCACAAAAAAAAAAAATTTAAAAAAAAATCTAGTTTTGCTGTAAAAGACTGTAGAAGATGATCCTAAATTGCTTCGGTACAGTTGAACCCTGAACTGTTTGTCTCCAAAGACCTAACCATTAAGTCTTCTAATTGTAAATTAGATCTTTCAGGGCTATTTAGATCTTTTTAGAAAAATAAAAATTATTCAGTGCCCTTTTTCAATACTCAGCATCATCCCTAAAAAATCAGCCTACCTAAAAAATTAGAAGCTGCAACTAAAGCTTTTAATGTTACGTTCTCACACTGAACAAATACTGTATTCACAGACTAGTAGCCCAATTGTAAAGAGACCAATTTCTGATTTACATTTCCAAGCTTAAAGTTGTTCTAAAGAAATATTAGAATTTCTGCTAGACAACTCTAATAATTACCAGGAACTCGGTAGGTGGTGCTCAATGTGAAGTCAGAATTCTGCTCAGAAAGATGAGAACAATCTTAAGCCCTCATTCCCCCGTGCTCTTTAAAATCACCCACCAGGGTTCTACACATAAGACTTCAAATGCTTAGTAAAATTCTGATTTTAAATATTTGATCTTGTTTTGATTAAAAATATCTGTGATGACTCAGTTGCATGCACCCTTAAATAATTTTGTCATGAACAGTTTGCTCTTTCCTTTTAGACATACGGTGATTTATATCAGACACAGTTCTATTTAACAGCCCTATTTCCTAACTTCGAAATTGAAATCTATACACCAAAGCTGAACTATTTTTTTCAGGAATACATTTAGGATTTCTTCAAGATAGACAAGGAAAACTTAATTTACCATTATCTAGTCCACTAACACAAGAAATAAGTGTGCAGTTCTTCATTTAACCAGTTTGGTTTTTTTTTTCCTTTAACCTGTCACTCCAGAATATGTTTATTGAAAATTATCAGTGAACACATTATTCTAGACTTCATTAGCTACAGCTGTTTAAAATACATCACTCACATCATCTGTCATAAGTGTTGCTATGGATCTTCCAATTTCATGGTACTGTGGAGCTTTTCCTGCTGGTCCCAGCAACAAAAACAAAAACCTACGGAGAAAGCAATCGAGATAAATACAGCCATTTGAACATACTCAGAGGGTTCCTTCAAGCTAATGTTTTTTAAAAAAAAAAAATATTTAGTAGTGAAGTAAAAATATGCTCTTTACCATTTCAGACGTTAAAGACTGCTTCAAGACTAAGACTTGCCTGAAAGTCGTTACTGGAAGGAACCCGAATCCTGAACCAAAATTACTCCAAAACCTTCTAAATTAAGCCTAATTTTTCAACTTCTTATAATGCCATAAATGTAGTAAAAATCCACAGGCTAGAGCTCAGTGAATATTTCCTTCAGTTTATACACTGACCTTCCCACTGGCAAAGAGCCTTAAGTGAGGGCCTTAAGAGCTTTATGATCTGTTCCAGCCTCCCTGATGATCATCTCTTCACAGGAGTTAAACCCCTCTCACTTGCAGTGACTGGGTACTCACACAAGAGATGCACAGACACACTTCAAGCAACACACTGGACATACTCCCATTGGCATGTCCTGTGTCAGTGTCACCTCCCATTTGGGGGGTGTGTCACAGCATACCTTAACAGACAGTCTCCATTCCCAATCACATTAATAGTTATCACACCACTTTGTTTAGACTTGAATAGGACTAGCATCTTAGAAATTCAAAAGGATATAGACTAAAAAGAGGGAACCTTTCTTTTCGCCACCTTTTTCCTACTCTTCATGAAAATGAAGTTCCTAAATACAAAACCTTCGAAAAAGTAGTGCCTTCTTTCACCTCACAGTACAAAAAGCTCAGTGCTATTTTTCCCTTGCAAGCTGAGCATCCTAACTGAAACCAGGACTGGATCTTCAGGATCAAGTATGCTATTCCAAATCTGCAAGTCCACACCATTCTAAAATAATTTAAGACAGGAACATTTTTTCTACATGAATAAATAATCTGAATGCAGAAATTCTGGAATTTCCCAAGAAACATCATGAGCACTAACATCAATTACCCTCCGAAAAGTCTCACATTCATTTATAAGAATACTGCCAAGATTATTTTTGCCTTTCATTAGAGTATATAAGCCAAAAATTACAAAGATAAACAAGTACACTGATTATTTCAACACATTAAAAAAAAAAAAAAAACAACACCAAACTCCACGAATGTACATATTTACACCACAGAACAGCCCAATACATCAACGGGCACAGAAAATGAAGTGTCCTGCATGGTGACCGGCAAAATGACCTGCTATCTGCCTCACGGGAGTGACATTTTGGTCACCCGTGGTAAATACACCCACAGTGTACCCTGGCGAGACCCATGATTTTGGGGTGGTGGGGGTGGGTGCACCAAGCTAGACAGCATACTGCAGACTGAAAACAGATTCCATTTATTAGCTGCAGATTGGTTACCCCACTGTCAATCATGTAGATTTGGGCACATAACCGGTTAAGTTTTTCCACCACCTATGTTACTCATACACAGAGTATTTGTATACCAAGAGCAGAGCTTCAAATCAGAAAGACTTTCAGACTCAGCGGACTCTTCTGTGTCGCACTGGAGGAAACCATAACAATCTTCATGCCCATCTTTAAAGTGGCAACACAAGCTTGGAAGACTCATTGCTTCTACTCCACGTCAGCTATCAGTTCTAACTTCTGCACTTACATATAATGGTGCTGTTTTAAGCATTTAAAGCATTCAGCAGATCTTCAAATTTTGTAGCAAATGACTGGCATCATGTTAAACAAAAGTCTGCATTTCTTGTGCTTAATAGAGTATGTATAAAAATGTACAACTACTCAAGATCTTTAATATTACTATCTACTGTACAAGTAAAGCCAGACTTCCGAGGCATTTATTTACCGTGTAGGAACTGGAACCTCTGTGAGACCCGAGAGAAGCACAGCAGGGGAGAGCCTCACAAAGGCAATAATAGGTCTTTCTAAAAAATCTACTTCTCCCACTAACACATTTGATGCTTCTGCTCCTGAAGGAATTTTCCTCATGAAGTTCATATCAACCTATTCATACAAAGATGAAACAAGTGTTTATTCCCTTATATTATCAGAAATTCTGTAACATAATTATATGTTTATCAGTATTTAATAGACATTTATGCTACAAAGAAAAAAAATTATATATCCCACAGTACAGAAAGGACAAACATGTAGAAAATGCCAGCCAGCCAATAATAAACTGGTTTCTAAAAGTTAGTATTACTACCACCTACTATATTCTAGAAGACTCCAAACTGCATAACCACCTTTCTGATATTACTTACCATGACAAACATTTGAGATAGGATATAATTTAACAAAAATCTATGCACAATTAACTAAGGAGAGTTCATGTAATTACATATGGTTTCTAGAATGCAATTAGTTATTTCACAGCTGTGTATTCCAAATGTCAATTTCAAAAAATAATTTGTACATTCATGTTTTCATCCATAAGGAATCTGAGAGCTGAAAAGCTTAACTTTCATTTCTTTAAGTGATTACAGAAGAGCATTAGAAAATGGTACAGCACATGAACTCTGTCCTGAAATACATACACACACACACACACGCAAGCACCAGTTACATTGCTATCTAGAGAACTTACAGATGGCCTCTTGAGTCCCACACCCAGTGTGCCACAACTACAGTGCCAGGAGGCTGACTCCTGCCCAACAGGAGACAAGGCAGGTGTACAGAAGGACAGGCCAAGCAAAAACATAAAAACTGTGACAGAGGAGCAGGAATAAATGCCACCTGCCATAATTACATGAGAACTACAGTATGTTATCTTTCCTTACACATAATTATATAATTTGGCAAACCCATTTCCTTAGTGTTTCACTGTACAGGTGACACTACAGACTGAGTTTTCTCGTAAAAGCCATAATTTAAATTTGGCAGATAAGTTCTATTATGGAAGAAATACAAAAGGATTTACAGTATTATACAAGATTTCCTTCAGAAAGCAGCATTATATGCTCCTAATGATTAAGAGGTACCATAAATTTTCTACAGCGAACTTATGAAACCTACAAAGTTACTCCCCTTCAAAAACCCTCTTTGCAGAAAAACATAAAAAGTCAGTCCTTGAAAAAAGTTTTGCAACACCATCTATAAGTTTGTTTTCATAGAGTCTTTAGAGCAGATCTGAAAATAGCTCCCTCTGCAAGGTAAAGTACAGTGACTGCACTCCTAAGTTACCAAAATACTAAAAGAATCAAAGGAAACAAAGTTCAGTCCCACTGGGAAGAGTTTCAAAACATTTGATACATTTAGCCTCTACCATGTTCTGACGTTCATACGCACAATTTATGTCTTAGTATGCACATCTTACGTACACTCATACATATGCATAGGTATATGTGTCTTAGTTGTAACCAAAAGGGTAATTACAACCCCCACGTTCTTTGTTACAGAGTTATTTGGTGCCAAACATTAAGTTATTTAATATTATTTACCTTACTAAAATCAACAGTGCTGTTTTCTCTGCTTCCGCCTGTCCCAGTACCTTTAACGTCTCCACTTTTCCCAGTGTCTAAATTTCCAGGTGCTGACTGTGGAGATGCCAACAGCCCTAAATTAAAACAAAGGAAAGAAGTTCAAAATGATGTATGACGTGAACTGAGTATGCAACACTACCAAAACTCAATGTGGCAGCGTGCTTAAAGCAAATGTGCAAGTTATTCAGTAAGAGCACCCTGCATTAGTATCATAAATGCAACATGAACGAGTCACCGTGTTGTCAAAGTAGTGATGTAATTAAAAAACTAAAATGAAACATTGCCCAAATGATGGCCGTTTGCAGTCACCAGGAAAGAAAATTATCTATTTTAATTGTAGAAATCATAACAAGCATTGACATTTTAATCATAACCATTCTAGTAGTTGGTCGATAGCATCTTAGCTAGATTTAGAATCCCTGAAACACCAAAAGGGAACACCTCTGCTACCTAGTCTGCTGCGTAGCAGTTACTCCAATTGTAAAAAGCTTCAGTAAGCCTCAGGCCACAACTACAAGGAATACAAGCACTATACTACATAAAGGACAGACAGCTTGCAAACCACGATTTCAACACACCAAAGCTCCTGACCAGATGTTCCTATATGACCTGTCTCTAACGCATTAGGTAAGAGGCACATACAATAAAGTTACTAACCGTACAGCTTCCCTCTGGCATCTGCACTAAAACATCGTTTTCCGTAGCTTACTACACTACCAGCTACGCTGAACTGCAGGGTGCAGCGAAGGGTGCAAAAGTCAAGTAACCCAGGTGTTCACAGACACTGAATTCCACAAGGCACCATGGTTATCCCTACCCAACCCTGAGTTCAAAGCTGGTCTAGGCATGCATATGCAAGCCCGAATCCCATCTTTCGGATTACAGAGCTTCTACTTGCTCGGTTTAACATGCCACAGAGGTGTATTTGGCCTTGCCTGTCTACACTAGATCTTCCAGATGTGGTGATAAGCATGCTTTTTAACATGCTTTCAAAACCACATCTAGACAAAGACAAATCCAAACATTGTATTAGAAGCAGAAAGCTTGTATTTAGGTCAAGCATTACTCTAGCCAAGATAAAACAGAAATCCTTGCTGTCTGCTTTTCGGCTATTGTTCTGTCATAACTACCACTGCATAACTACTTGCATCCCTCCACGTTTATAATTTAGCAATTTAACATTTTTCTGCATTTCAAGTGACATCTGAATTTGTTTTATTTGATTCCAAATTTATTTACAAAAAGCTTTCAAAGAGACATTATATCAACGGAAAACATGCAGGTCCCCAGACCTTTACCCTTAATTTTCATTCTTACAGTTCACAGGGATTTAAGTGATAGTTTTTCCTGAAGCAAAAAACAAATTAAGTTCATAACCTGCAATTTCCTCTGTGAATCCTAACATACGCAAATAATTAGTTAACACTATAAATGCTACATTCAGTTAGCCAGACCCAAAAAAACCCCATCACCCACACTCTACCCTTCTGCTCCCAGATGTATGTTCTATTCACAAGAATTACTAACAGCAATCAACCACCTGAGGAGTCAGCTATCCAAAGTACTTAACTGCACAAGAGTTAAGGTTGATCTGTTCGTACAACTAGAAACAGAATAAACTATGAAACAGTTGTTGCAGAAGACAACCATAGTAAAGTTTATATGTATAAACTTCCCCCCCTATGTAAAAATAAGGGTAACTCATGATGTATACGACTGATGAAAGATGAGAAATAAAGCATCATTTTGCACTTTTCGCCATGTGAGCAAGAGCAAGGAATGATAATCAAGGAGGTGGACAGAGAGTAAGGATTCTGCATAGTAGAACTATTTATTATTTCAGTACTAAAGTGATACTGATTCTTGTAAAAGATTTGCCTTCAAAATTTCTCCAACCTGCAGCAGTTAAGGTTCACAAGTTTTGGCACTGACACAGGAAAATTTGTGTGATCCTAAACCACGTGTAAATAGTTTTTCCTTTCTGTTGGTTTTGCAGTTGGACAGGCTGCAGCACTCCCACGAGAATAGTGCTTAGGGGTTCTCAGACCTGAGCAAGCATTTCCATATGACACTGTATTTCATTATGCACATCAATCAGATACTTGCAAGGCAACTCAGAGTAAAAAAAAAAAATCTTCTCTAATAGCAAAACACTTATACTCAAATCTCACACTAATAAAAGAACTTATTTCCTGCTCTTCTCCAGTTCAGTGGATACAAACTCAGAGACTACTGCTAAAAAGAGTATCTAGTAGTTTTTCCAGACTGCAAGACAGAAAAATTCCTCCAGCCTTACCAAGCAACCAAGGGTATCATTAAAAATATACAGTACTCTTCTTGATGCTGTTATGCAGGTATACCACCTGCCTCCTTCAAAAGACAACAGTGAACTGAGTCTTGAGTAAGTTTGGATTAAAACCTCATAAGATCAGTCAAGTTAAAGGACTTAACAACTACACCTTCATTAAAGATCATGTGCATTTTCAAGCCAACTACACTTAGTCTAATACTGTGATCACAAAATCTAATGGACATTATCTACTGGAAAAAGAAAGCAAGAAGAACAAAGGCATTGCTTTGCAACTCTGCTTCAATTAAAAAAAATCCAACAACCACAACATTGAGGGAAATTATTTCAACACTTAAGTGAGACTTTTCCACTATAATTATGTTTATACAGGCAAAATTTATGAAATACAAAACTTCTAAATACAAAGTCACACCATATTTGTGTTTCCGTAAATAAAAATCAGTTTTTAAAAATAAATTTCAATGGAGCCATAATGTGAAAAAAAAAAAAAATTTTTGAAGGCAAATCCTACAAGGTAATTAGGTAAACCTTTCTGAATTATTATTTTCAGGAAGTAATTATTTTAAAAAATCTGTTCTAAATATTATTTTACTCTGTTTTAAAGTACATTTATCAGTGAACTAAAAGACCCCTTAAACAGTCTGCTTTGCTGATGTTCAGAGACATTAACAAAGCTTAATGTGTCTGACGAACTAACAGCGTTCATCTTTAGTTGTGACACAGCCTTCTTCGTAGCTCTACCTATGGAATTCATTATTCAACAGTTTCAAAGATAGGAAAACAAAAGCTGTCCTTGAACTGAAGACAAAAGAAAAAAAATATTGTTAAAGAGAACCTTTTGCCTGGTTGACTTACTAAAACTGATGACTGGCAGATAAAAATTAAGCAGTAGACTGAAAGCATTCCCCCCCCCCGCTTTACTCCTTTTGCAGTAATTCACATTAAATTCAGTAACCTTCTTGTTACTTCTAAAGACTGAAAAATAAAGTGTAAATAGCAGAAGGCCAAGGATAGGTGAATACTAAACAGAAGAAAGCCATCTAATAGATAATTAGAACAGGTCCTAACTCTCACAGAAGGCAAACCCAACTTAATCATACAGATGTGGGAAAAGTATTCAGGCTGCAATATTCTTAATTACTAGAGAGGCAATACAGACCATAATCTACAGTGCAATGGACCAAGCTGGTGATCTTTTGATTTTTAAATAGAAGGAAGATGACTTCCTCTTCAGGGTTCCCTTCTGTCTCCTGAGACAGAGATTAGTCCAGTTGCAGCCCCGAAGTAACAGTCTGAGAAAGTTTTCAAAAGGTACCTCTAAGGAAAATGTGCCTTTCGGTGGACAGCTGATTTCTTGAATAAAAAAGGGGGAAAAGCCCAGAAAACAAAAATGTCTTCATCATTATTACCGTTCATCTTTTTCTGGAAAACTTCAATTCTGGATTAACTGGGAAATCATCGCGTTCAGATTTGTCCTTTATAAGAAACATCCCCTTGAGGCACAATAGCAATTTGAACATGACTTGTGAGTTTCTGGTGGAAAGCTTTACTAGTGGCAGTAACAGCATCAAGTACTTGATCTTCATTTGTTTGCCTTCTCTTGGATTCTAAAGACCTTGGGTCTGGCATGCTGTCACTGCTGTCAGATGAGTAGAAAAATGAGAACTGGAACACCGATTACAGGTGCTATTTTACTTCTGTTTTTTCATTACCTTTGAAAGATCACCCATGAGAGAGAACGATCTTCACATGAACTCTCTTAATTTCCCATAAGGAAATCGGAGAAAGTTTTCTGTTTGCTTTTCTGAATTTAACTAAGGATGAGGCTCCTACTCCAACTCAAGATGACAGCCTACAACACAACCTGCTCTCTCCTTTTCAGTGACCTGGCTGCAAATATGAAAAGGCAGACAACCACAGCCTTTTCTGTCAGCATATTTTCACTGCTATACCTAACAGTGTGCTCTTAGTTATTAAGTGAGGAAGGAAACCAAGAAAAGCCTCACTGATAAAAGAATTTAGTTAAATCAGCTCCCTCCCTCCATCCCCCACAATATACATAGGCATAAAGCACACAAACTTACAAGCTAGCTTGTGGCAAGATAAATTTCCATGAAAAATAAAAGAAAAAAAAAAAGGAGGCTAAAAAGAAAGGTGATCCCCTTAAAAAACATGATCTATCTAGAAGAACCCTAAAGTCTCTAAATAGCTGATAATTTCACAGAAGTAAAGCAAGTATAACTATGTATGCAAAATGCACGAGTTATGAAACACTAAAAACAATTAAAGAAGCCATCAGAACCTTCCCTCTTTTCTTTCAATTTATCAGCATATCCACATACCTTTTTACATGTAAAAAACAATAGCTTTGCAAGATAACAAATTAATAAATGGCTGAGCTCTGACCTACAGTCACACTCTTATCTACCTTATCCTGTTTTGCATATCAAACAAAGCAAAACAGTAATCAAGAGGCTGACCCTGAAACAGCAGACTAATGCACAGCTATCTGGAAAGAGCTGTAGGTGAACTGAACTTGCTAATTCCATCATAAACTACAACTGGTTTTAATGCTCCAGGTTTTTAAAAGTAAAAGTAAAACTGCTAAAGACTTCATGATAGAACTCAACTACAAATACGACTGATACTCATCTCCAATACTTCACTAGGTCTTGAGCTGTAGCTACCTCAGGATATCAAACAAGGGTGTAAAAAAAAAAAAAAAAAACAAACAACACCCACCCACACACCATACTGGTTTGACCAAGCCAACAAAACAAAACCTGACGTGGACTGTAGGTGAGTGAAAGGAAAAGGCCACCATTTTTGACATTTTGCTTATATACTATATTTTAAAACCTTTTTAATTACACAGGTGAGGGTTAATTAATTAAAGGATTTTTTGCTTGCTTTAGTTAAAAGCTAAAAAGTTAAAAATGCCAAACAAGAAAACAGTCACAACTGAGAAGAAATAAAACATGCAGGCAGAAGTAACAGTTATCATACTCCTTTGTGCCCAAGTTATGTGCCAAAAACATCACAACGCAAGTGATCCAGATGCAGAGACCATCACACACGGACAGCTAGATTTCAATAGTTGCCTGGTGTTTTGCCATTATTTTCCTCTGTCTTCTTTTCCTGGCTTTCCTGCACTTCTAAGTCCTCCTCAGGTGGGTGGATTATTACTGAAGGAATATCATCACTGGCAGGTGACACCAGCAATTCCTTGCCCTGAAGTGGCTTTGGATGGGCACTTGTGGTTGGCGGGTGGCTGCAGGTAGGACTGGAGGGTGGTGTGTTTTGAGGGGTAGTTACTGGGGTTGTACACCTCGAGGTTGCCGGGGTTCCAGCTCTTGAAGAAGGAAGAAGGTAATTGAGAAGAACTGACAAACGGTTTTCTCCTCTGAGGGAAATATTTGAGGCAGAGAGACCTGTTCGCAAAGAGTGACGGGAGGCTGAAAGGCCTTCCCCTGAGATAAAACAAATGAAACACCATGAGGCTTACAACAGGGATATACTAAAACCAGACACAATACGCATTAACAATTTACATAGTAAATTGCAAGCTTTTGGGCCAAGTGTCATACTCATGCAAGTCAGACGAGGTAAGAGCAAATCTGATTTCAGACATTAGAAAAGTCAGAAATTACTAGCGAGTACTAATTAGAACACCAAAGATATGTAGGAGAAAATATCAAAGACAATAAGATTTGTTAATACAACCCAGAAAAAAATATTATCTCTTGACGCTGTCTTATATTTTCCTAGAATAATTTTTTATTCCAAATTGCATACCAGCTACCTTTAATGCCATGCAAAAAGACATTAAATCATTAGCAGCCGAAACATTGCAAGACTTCAGTTAACTGCATCCATAGTATACAAATTGTTAATTTTTTTAAATTAAAATATTTCAAAATTAACATAATCAAGGATATCTAACCATGTTAAATGCAACTGTCTTCCAATAAAAGTCTGGTTTTAATGAGAAGTTTCCTAGCCAGCTGTAGTTTCAAGATACAGTTTTGAAGAGGGCACAGGATGAGATACATAGTCCCTTCTCCATTTCTTCTTGCTGCAACTTAACCAAATTTCCCCATTTGCCTAAAGCCAAACAGGTTTCTCCTAAATCCATTGTTACTTCTCATGCCCTATACAGTTTCAATGTCCACCTAATTTCATATAAAGGGAACACAGTCTTGTCATGGTGGCCTCCGTTTTAAAGTTTGTAATGGGTTTCAGTTCTTCCTTAAGCGGGAAGAGAGACTGTCCAACCTCCTATCAGCACTTCCATTAAAAGGTTTAGCAATACCATTCCTCCCGTTTAGCACAAAACGCTTTTCCTGGAGTGGCAGTTTCCTTAAGAGTACTGCTTACTTCTCCTACAATCCCTAAAATCAAAAACATTCCGTTTCATGTACCATGCCATCAAGAAGGGAACAGCAAGCTAAGACACATTTAGTCTCATGTTTATACTAGGCACTACAGAGACCAACACGTTGAACCACCGTAGAATAATTTACAAAAAGGAGGCACAGAAAGCATGCCTAAGTGAAGGTCACGTACATTTTCTTCCTCCCTCTAACAGTGGAAGAGTGAATCCTACTGATACAAACTTGAATTAAGAACAGAAGCTTCAAAGATCAACTATTAAAACTGCAGTGCAGTAAAGACAAGAGGACCAATAAAGCAAACTGGTTGATTTTGTCTGTATTAATCACTACAATAATAACTAGACTTCTGTCAGCATATCTGGATGATCATGGACATGAGATGCCCTAACACACAGAGGTGTAAAACAGAGCCTAAAAAGTAATGTGCACAAATGCACGTTTGGTCTACCAGTTTGTTAGAGAGTAACCACAGAATTCTAAAGAAATAGTAAGTCAGTATATGCTGGCAAATACTTGAGCATGTTATACTGGTTTCTTATTTCTGCATATATCCCATGTTTTGTTGTAGGCATAGTATTAAGAACAAAACCCACTAGTAAGTGAAAGTGATAAGTGACAAGCAAGAGACTTCAAACACATAATTCCCAGAATTATAATTGGGGATACAGGTGTTCAAGGACAGGCAAAGCCAGGTTTATATGTGAAATTTTCACATTTCCTAAACAAAACAAGAAAAATCAGAAGTTACAGAATGAGCTATGCTCTTATTTGCATTTTCATTCTAGAAAAAATAATTCTGAAACTGTCAGAAAAATACTGAAGCATGCATCACACATTCACTAGCTAACAGAAAGTATCAGCAAGCTTGGACATTGCTGGAGCACACTCCAAGCATGTATCAAACTTAGAGCTCCCAACAAGCTCTTAACCAAGCGGCACAGGTTCTAAGCAGTAAGGCATCTTTCAAGACAGGAAAGGAAATTCACTTCAAGGAGTAATTCATTAAATTGTTACTAATTTCTCCCTAAACTAAAGAATTTCAGTTGAAATAATACATCCCTTAGTTAATGCAAGGCAAAAGAAAAAGAACAGAGACTGAAGCAGAAGCCATAAGAAATCCAAGGATAAAAATATGCTGCTCTGCAGTATATATTGCTATCTGAACTTTGGAAATGGATGTCTGGAGCAAATGTATTGATATTCCAGAATATTTTGGGGAATTGGTTCAGTAGAAGAAGTGGTACAGCCTATAAAAATACTGCAATTTTTTTTTTGGGGGGGGGGGGGGCGTGTGTTCCCCTCCCATTAGGTCCTTCTCTACAAAATAAGGTAAAAGTAAACCGTGTTCTAGCTAAAAGTAATTCCTTCACCATTATCACAGTAAGCTACCGCTAGTCATATTAACATAACATTGGATTAAAACGCAGCATCTGGCAGCATCACTGAACTCATGACATGACCACAAAGTACATCTCTAGTATAAAGACTGAATAAGCAAATAGAACCCGTCTGACATACATACAAAGCTATGCCACTATTCCGAAATTCCTCAAACTTTACACATTTTATTCAAGCATACCCCAAAAAACATCAGGGAAAACATAGGTCTGTTTTATACTTCAAAACAATAATGCATGCTACGTATACAGGCAGCAGTAGAATGTTTGAGTAAGTTGAAAAAAATAAAGAAACGTCATCCAGAGCTACACATAGCACACACGTTATTATTAGTTCTTTGCTTATCAAGACGTAACCACTTATCTGCTAATATCAGCTGAGTTTTCCTTCATCTCCCAGTGGGAACATTATTTAACAGGTTAGAACAGACTGGATGCTACAACTTATCTCACCATTTCGTTCAAGCAAGTGAGGGTCAGAATGTTTCTTGCCTATATCTGCAAAAGACCGAACCAGGGGAATCCGATTGCTGAATTTTTTCTCATTCTGGTGATGGTGCCTTTTTAGAAGAGCCTCTCTCACATTCTCTCTTATGGATTCATGGAGCTGGCCAGAGGCAATCATGTTGTCCAAAACCATATCTACATAACAACAACAACAAAAAAAACCAACGAAAATTACATGTATAGCTGTCAAATCTCTGCTTCACCACACCCCAACACTGTAGTTGCACCAAATAATAAACAAAATCTAAATCTATTTAAAAAAAAAGAATCTTCAAGAATCCACAGGAAATTTTCCAATATGTCACTGAACAAATGTGAGAATAAAGAAGTCACAATATGCAGATCTAAAAGACAGTATTTATTAGTAGCATCATTTTAAGAAATAAGATACTTAATATTTTATAATTTACTGTTGTCTACTTCAACTTTCAGTGGCTACTCCCTTTCAAAAAAAAAAAGTGCATCTATGTATTCAACAACCCTCCACTAGATGTGGAAACACAAAGACAGCAACACAGTGGAGAATAGACCTCAAGACAGTCTTAAGCTGGTGTTCCCTATTTTGAAAGTGCCTAACTATACAAAGTGGAAGCTATTACAGAATAGTTCCCTGACTTCTGTCACCTTCAGATTCCCTAAGCTCCTGAGACTCTCTACTGAATTTGTGCGATTCACATGCAATAGAAGATGAAGCATAAAACATACGATCACACCAGGAAAAAAAGCATCTGCTGTGACTTCTTAGCTGCCTTTTTTGTTTGTTTGTTTTAAAGAATGAAAAAGAAAAAACCCATCTGCACAAATCAATGCGAGTCTACACTAAGGACTTTGAAAACACATTTTGCCAGTCTTAACTGGCTGTATCAAGAACCTAACTGTATTGGTGAACTGCAATTGCATAGAACTTCTCAAAGTGAAAGAAGTTATGGCCTAGAATACCTTACAATAAAAAATTATATGCAAAATCTGTCAGTACAGTGCTAGCTTCCTTCTGGGATTACCAGCAACACACCACCTCTTGTGATTAGTGCAATCAACTGCACTAATGGCGTCACGTTAACATCAGCCAAGTTATGTTAAATAATTAGGGTACTAAGACGCACAAATAACTTCTAAAATGTTCTGGTAGATATTTACATTTCATCTGTAGAAACAAAGACAAAGAACACATTCAGGGATTAGAACATAAAGGCAAATCCCGGGCCTCATCCTAAACATGTAATAAAGTAGGTCCTACTCATCCAGTGTAGCTCCTTGTAAGTGAGGTCTGTAGGATCAGCTCTTTACAACCAGATGAAGAAAACTGCAGTAAGAATGCACACACCTATTTCTTCAATACAGTATTTTCAAGAACATAAAAAGACACCATCAAAAACATCAAGTTACAGATTAAAATTCAGGAGTAAAAAATTTTTTAAAAAAGTTTTACTGCAACCTGCTATCTCATCTAGTGTGTTTGCTCTCATGTCCAGCATGACCGTCCCATTAAGAATACAGCTTCGCAGTTCAAAGAGACTGTGCAGAGACAGGGTTGCTACGTAAGGCTTGCTCCATCGATCACCACCATCTTCAACATCCTCTTCAAATTTTAGCCACCTGAAATGCATACACATATTTATATTCCTCCTGTAAGACAGAAAATATGGCAAGCAATTCCGTTCTTCCCTGTGGCTTCTGTGTAACACGGAACAGGAAGTCACATCACCTCGTATCACCTTTCATTTTCTCAGACAACCCAACTGATCGACAGTCACAACATTTTTATCAGGCCTCTTAACCTTTTATTTCTTTGGTTTGAACAAGACCTGCCTATTCACGAGTTCTAGTGAACAGTGTGGGACTGTGCTGTGTTACTTGATTTGCATATCTCAGTTACGTTGGTATTTTAGGATTAGAAAGCTGTCTGAAACACAGTGATGCAGTGGTTTACTTCTCCTAGGGTGCTAAGTCAGTATTACCTAGCTCTTAAATATTGTGTTAACTACAAATTGATCTTGATTCTGACTCACAGGCATTAACTCAATTGAACTTCTAATTACCTTTTGCCTGATAGCTTTCGCAGAAGTACCGAATCCAGAAGAATTTATTACAACACGTATCTAGAAAGAAGCAACTAAACCAGTATGGGTCAAAAATAGTCACTGGCATCCTGTAACATCCAAGCATGCAATTTGCAAAAGAAATAATCAAATACTAAAGAACATATGTAAATACCCAATTTTCTTTGTCTGGATAAAAAAAATTTACACTAAAATATCAGCAATAATAGCGCAAAGAGATTTCTGAGACCGTAAATACCATGCTCCATGGCTGAACACCTGTATTTGTAACTAAACACATGCCTTTGGCAATGCTTGGCATAATCAGTTTTAGGAAAGTCAACACAGCACCAGTAAGACTGAGGGTCTCTTGAGAAACCATATTGATTCTTCCAGAGCTGGACAAAAACAACAAAAGTTTTAATTTGCTGAGCATGAATGGAGTGAACAACTCCTATAGTTCATGAAAATTCTAACCTAGACCTGGTTTGCAGTTCTTTGAAATAAATCACAGGAAGATACACCTTGAAACAATCTACTTTTAACATACCTAGCTGTTTCTTTCCATTCATATTCTTCTCCATCTCTGAAGCAAAGTTCATCCATTTCAGTGAAGAGATCATGGGGAATGTGTTCATCATCGTCTTCAGTACCCAAGATAAACTGCACTCTTTGAGATGGCGTGTCTTGAAGAAAAGGAGAAATTAAAATAATTAAAATAATTAATACTTCTATTTTGCAAGAAACACCACATAACACATCTCCTGCTCTCAGCTAGAAATATGCAGCACAATATCCCTTCAAGAGGGAAGAGTAACAAAGGAAACATCGACTTTTCCTTTAAAAAGGAGGCCCTTTTAAAATTATTCATTGTTTCTGAAAACAAAACATCTGGAAATTTGTGTTTACGTAATACAATTAAGTATTTTTAGCTCTTCTATGGATTAACAATATGAAATTAAACATCAACAGCATAATCAGTAAGAAAGTAGAAGTTAATATACCAAAGGATCCTTTTTTCACTTTTCAAAAATAAACTATATCATCTTGACATAGTCACCAAAGGAGGGGCGGGGGGGGGGGGGGGAAAACCAATCACACCACTCCAAAAAACCCCAACAAACCAGGTTGACAGAAGCAAATAGTCCAACTCACAGATTGGTTGCCCTAGTAATAGTTTCAAGATGCTAATTAGCTGGCTTCACCAGTTTTACTTTTGCATCGTTGTTCTGGCATACATCATCATCCAATAACATAATTTGGAAATGAGCTCTTGAATACAAACCACATTCATTATCAATGAAGACCTACAGCAGATTGTTTCTGTCTCAACACCAACATATCCCAAGAACCCTGCCATACCTTTTGTATCCAAACTAGAGCAGTGACCAGAAGAGAGAAGTGAATTTCTATCTATTTAACACTACTTGCTGCTTCAGAGGCTGTACAGCAAGACTCTACAAACATTAAGATCAGGCGATAATAACCTGTATTTAGTAGGGGAGGTTTTGAAAATTAATCACATAGTGATCACAATGTTATCTCAAGGAATAAAGATAAAAAAAGCAGGTAATCTCAATTTTAAAAATGTTACTTTGTTCACTCAAATGTCACTCTCATAGCTGCTAGATCTGAACATAAAACCGCATGCTTCCACTGCGGAAGGAAGATCTCCTCTTAGATTCAGACACAAGATCTGATTTACTGTTAAACTTTTTTTGAACTTCATTCAGAATGGAGTAAGAGAATGGTAAAAGGGGACTTGTCAAAGCATTGTCATTTGAACACTCCTTTGTTTCATGGAAGTGGCCCCACGTAGAACATGGTTCTAGTCATAGAATGGTGATAGTGAACAGCATGGTGTCCATGCTTGAGGTGGAACACTGCACCGTAACTTCCCCATTCATTAGTCTAGGAACAAGAGCAGGTTTGAGATCTTGAAGAAAAACTGCTGAGAGTACTGCTAAATAATTTCATTTCAGAGAATAAAAGCAGTCATCTCTTGAGGATGGGAGGAGGACAGTGTAGTGTCTGATCCAAAACTAAAACTTAGGAGGTGGTACCATTCCTTTACTAACAAACAGCAAGAAGGCTGAAGTAAATATTGGAATGGATTGTTGATCATGTTACCATGGCAAATGCTGCTTCCCAGCTATATCCCTACTTTCAAAATAATCTTGAGTGACAGAGGAAGAGTATTACAAGACTACACAATCTGAAAAAAGGTGTCTGATTTAAATAACAGATTTTTATGCTACAGGCAAATATTATGAAGCTCCAGCCTAACCTATTCAGTGCAGGCTGCTGAACATTCACACAGACACCTGGATGAATTCCAACAGTTCATGATTTAGATAAAACACAACCACAACATCCTTGCCTGACTGTATGCAGAAAGACCTTAGTTACAGTAAAAATAAAAGAAAGAGCACAGAACAAACAATGTTGAATCACAGGGTAATTTTCAAGCCACACAAATAGCTCACAAGAGATTTCTTACCATATGATGGAGATTCTCGGCCATCCTCTCTGTCAGCTTCTTTTTCTTTTTTTCTTCTGTGATGTCTGTGCCCACGATGTCTATGCCGTCGACGGCCTTGTTTTCCAAATGGGACGTGAACTCCAATATACACAGCTCTGTGACCTTTACAAGAAAGTATAAAAGGAAACAATTAAACAAAAAACAACCTCCTATCCAAATCTAATGTCTTAGTCAAAAAGACAAGAAGTTTGCCAAAAAGAAACCCAAAAGCACGTGGCAAAACTATCTTTAGTGAACTAATATTACCATTTCCTCTCTGTCCTTCCCTGGTGTGAAGAAACTATACTCATGGCCCTGCTACACTGAATAACAACATGGTCTAATTTAAGAACTCAGTTGTGAAACAAGTAATATAGAAACACAAGCTTGGCCTGCAACACTGAAAGAAGCTACTTGATAAACACGAGGACAAGGCAGAGAAATTACATAGCACTCCTTGTTTGCAGGGATTCATATCAGGATAGCCATTACAGTGGCAAGATACAACCTCCTAGTTCAGTTCATGAGCTTCGTTAAGCAGTTACCCACTGTTTAGACTCCGCAAGCAAGTTTTCTCTGCTTGAAAGAACTGCCACTATGCCTGAAAGTAGCATGTGACACATCTAGGTGAACCTGATGTTCAACTGTACAATTACTTTAGTATCAGTTGGAGCAAAAAAGGAACTCAGATTTAAGTGTGCCCCAAAGCATCAAACAGCATTCGGGAGGTGAGGGGAAGAAGCATGGCGATGTGCAGAGTTCTAATCTAGGGGTTTTTTAATAAATTTAAGTAGCATACCCTCTAAATCAGACATACCTTTAAAACCTGTACTTTCAACATCTTGTTTTTCCTTTGGCCTTTCACATTAAGGCAATACTAGCATCAAGAAATCAATCAACGGACTGTTATGAACATATTACTACCACGTCTCCTCTAATGGAGTTAGCATACACAATAACTTTTTCAATTCCTTTTTAAACAAACAATCTCAGGAAGAGACACATTAAACATAACCCCGGAGGTTAACACTAAATACTTTGTTTCATACTGTAGAGGAGTTATTACAGAAGACTGACATTAACAAAAGGAAAAGGAAGTGGTTTTCCAGCTCTTAGAGATGCAAATTCAGCAGATCTACAGAATACAAGCAAGCCCTAGGAGTTACAGCACGCACACACATTAGATAAAGGAAGTTTAAAAATTCTGGGGATTACAGAGCTTTAAAGAAATAAAAAGTGGTAGTATGCCAAACTTGTTTTTCCAAGAAGAGCATCTCTAAGCCCAGAAAGATACACCAGACTTTTGTAAAGCAGTATCTTCATAGTGCTACATGAGCAAAAAGACTAAGAAAAATTCAATGATGATTCATGGGTAAGTTCAATGTTGAATTAATTTGGTCAAGATTCCTTGTAAAATTACAAGATTCAATTCTTGTCAGACTTCCAAACTAGCTTTAGAGTCAACAGATTGGCACTATGACCAAATCTGAAATTAAGCATATTAAGAGCTATTTGTTCCCATGTAAAGGTGGAAAACAGATTAATTTGTTGAAGCATTCATCAGCGCTATTTACAGAGAGAGATTTTTCTTTTGTGAGCTTCTTCCAACAAGAACACCCAACCCCTGCCGGTCAGCCTGACCTTCACCCTCCGCGACTACTATACACAATGCAATTCCCAGAGAAATGAATGCCAATGTGACACTTAAACATAAATCAAGGCACTTGGTGTATAATATGACTAGGTGGCACCATTAACAATGGTCACATTAATCATACCATCATGATACAATAACCTTATGTACAGGGAAAGCAGAAGCACTAGTTTCAAAAATAGCTGCATTACTCACCACACCCCACTCAAAGCTGCCTGGTGCAAGCAAGTGACCCATCACTCACTGCAATGCTGCTACCATCCCTGTTAGGATTTTTGGTTTATTTTTTATATTCAATTACCACGTAATGTAACTGTAGTTTAAATATATAGTTAAACAGTTTTATTGTCAAAGCATTTGATTTTTTTTGCAGGAACTATTTTTTTTCCTAAGACAAACTCAGACATAGGCCTCAATGTCTTAAGGGGAGACCTTATAGCTCCTTCCAGTACCTGAAGGAGCTACAAGAAAGCTGAAAAGGGTCTTTTTACAATGGCCTGTAGTGACAGGACAAGGGGTAATGGGTTTAAACTGAAAGTGGGGAGATTCAGTTTAGATATGAGGAAGAAGTTCTTCCTGGTGAGGGTGGTGAGGCACTGGCACAGGTTGCCCAGAGAAGCTGTGGATGCCCCATCCCTGGGAGTGTTCAAGGCCAGGCTGGATGAGGCTTTGAGCAACCTGGTCTAGTGGAAGGTGTCCCTGCCCATGGCAGGGGCTTAGAACCAGATGATCTTTAAAGGCTCCCTACAATCCAAACCGTTCTATGATTCTGCTAATAAAAATCATAGAATCACAGAGTATTCTATATTATCAGCTTGTTTCATTATTATTAAGACTGCTTTAAGCACATGTTTAGATCACTGCACATAAAAACCTGAAGGTGATTACTTTCTAGAAAATGTCAGGAATATGAAACAGAGATTTTACTTTCTTGAAAAATTGGGAGGAGTTACACATGTTGGTCTCTTGCTGTTGTCTTAAATTAAGACAAAAATCCCACATTGCTTTCTGTACTAAAGAACAAACAAAAATCCCATACAATTTTTTCAAGGGCGTCCATCTTGAACAATTCACCCTGCTATTGCAAACATTAGCATTTGTAATAGTGTGCTCATTTCCATAGTCAAAGACCATGTTGCTGCATGGAAGAGAGGTGGAACCAGGAAACAAGAAAACTATCTCCTATTACAGAACTGCAGTCTGACTGAAATTGTTTTCAATAGGAAAGTGTGCAGGAGAGCAGATACATTGCAAAAGGATGGGTAAAAGCCAAGGAAAAGTGAGCTGAAATAAGCAACAAGCCAAAGGTGTTTTTAAACAAGCTGCGACTGTAGCAAAATGCTTCCCTACCCAAAATGCACTGACCCAGCTATCACTCTGTACAGGTGCCTCATAGCTGCCCCAAGGCACACCAAGTGGGCACTACCAACTCAGTCCTCAACTGAGGCAGCCAGTCCACAACCTACAATACTCACATTACTTTCTACTCCAGAATGATAATTTAAAGAAAGCACTTTCCCACTACCCCAGCAGGTTAGGGTATCACAGTGACAGGAGAACAGGCCCAAAATGTGTTATCTTACCATTCGGCCTACGCTGCCCAGAAACTACAGTTGTGTGAATGGCTATTGTCTCATCTAGACGCCATCTTGCAGACAAATGTAAAGCAAGAATACCTTCCCCAAATCACTTCCATATAAGCAAAGTGATGAGACTGCTACAGTTGCAATTTTATTTTAAGACTAAAGTGAAATGCTGATAAGCAAGACAATTTTCAGCGATTATTAAGTAAAACGCATCACAACCCAATGTAATTCTATTCGCTGATTTTGGCTGGGACAAGAGGTAATGCTCTTCACAGTAGCTAGTATGAGGCAATGTTTTGGATTTGTGCTGAGAATGTTGACAACATATCACCCATGATTCTACCTGTTGCCAAGCAATGTTTGTATTAAGCCAAGGACTTTTTCAGTTTCTCATACTGTACCTGTCTTCCCAGCTTCTGCTGGGAGGTCAGGAAAGGAAAACACCACCAGGAAAGCTGACCCAAACTGACCAAAGGGATATTTCTGGTAAAATGCCATGCTCAGTATATAAGTTGAAGGGAGTGGACCAGGGGGTCTGGCTCTTGGGTCTTTCAGGCTCTGGCTCACTCACTCTCTGGCTCTCACTGCTTAGGACCTGGCTGGGTGTCAGGTTGCGGCTTGTGAGCAGTTCTATCATTTGTTATCTTTTTTCCTATTGCTGTTCTCCTTTTCATTAATAGTAGTAGTAATATTTTTGTGACATATTATGAAAATTAGTCTCATTATTTCATTCCATTTTTTTTCAAATATTGAATTGATCTTATCTCAACCCATGGGTTTTCTTACCTTTTCATCAAATTCTCTCCCCCATCCCACTACTTTTTCAGAGCTGGGATGAGGAGGTGGCAATACTAATTAACAGCTTACAAACACACCAAACTGTTTGTTAAGAAATGGAATCAAGAAAGGGACTATGGGTTTTCTTTGTATCATACACATTCATAAGGTGAATGAAAATGACTACCTCTCCAGTAGTACCTACGAAATCCAAAACCACTGTTGTTGAGTACACTACCACAATTACCAAAACCTGCAACATGTGTATATTCAATTCCAAAAGGCAGGGCAAAACTGCAAAAAGTTGGACAAGTTTAAACCTTAATTCTGACTCCACAAAAAAAAGCACTGACAAGCCCTCTAAAAATGAAGAGAGCTGGACTGAGTAGGTCTGTATTCCCTTAAGTTTCATTAGTCAGATAGGAGCAATTAATACTTGCAGATGGACAGAAAAGATTTACTTACAAACATCACTTACAAGGGAAAAACAAAACAAAACCACAGGGATTTTCTTTCATTCCCAATGAATTGGGCAAAACAACTTATAGATCCCTTCACCCAGGGAAAAAAACAAACAAACAAAAAAAAAAAAGGCAGCCAGAAAGGCAAATAATACAATAGCAATGGAGAAAGAGTTAACTCTAAAAAGGCTGGAATTCATATAACTAGCATCAGTGTTCTTTCTAAAAGGAACACGACCTTTCAGTTGAATAGCTTTTAAAAGCTTGAAAAGTACAATTATGTGACCTTCAAAAGCTTTATTCACACAAACATCTGTACCACAGTACCACTCTCAAGCAAAGCTTGTTATAGAATTACTTTAAACCAATAATCAATAGAATTAGTAGACTGCCTGATACTAAATTTAGTAATACAAAGCTCAAGAGATAGTTGTTCATTTTAATCTAACATGACTTTATCCAAGCTTAGCTATTCAAATCCACCAAGAGTATTTACTAGTTAAGGTCTTTATCGGTATGGAACAAATTTAAATGTTAGGAGCTTGCTACATATCTCCATCACATGGTTGGTTTTACTCCAAAAGTCAGGTTATATCAAGCCTTATAAAATTGATAAAATAGAAAGTGATCAATTCCCTGATTTCTCCTCAATGCCCTAAATACATGGTAATAGAAGACTTAAAATCCAAAGGAGATCAAAACCATGTATCCAAAAATGTTCTGATGGGGCAACCCTGTGAGTATAATTCCACCCATAACTTTTTTTTCTACCCATCATCTTTGTTAGCTAGGTGCCTTTTAATCTTCATACAGAGGACATTCTTCCCCATGTTAACTTGGGAAAGCAAAGAAAATCAAGTTAATATCTATGTGAATTCTCAAATCCTGTCAAAATTTGGGCTGCAGAGATAGTATATTAATGTTGTAAGGGACACCTGGAGGCGGGCTATCCAATCCAATCTTGCTCCAAGTACAGTCAACTCTAAGTCATCTTTTCAGTCAGGATGACAACCAGCCAAGCTCTGAGTATCTGAAGGGATAAATGCTCTACAGCTTCTCTGGGCAACCTATTTCAACATAAATCAACATACTGCATGAAAATAACTTCCCAATGCTGCATCTTGTCTGTGCTCCCCTTCACCCTTTCGCTATGCATCACCAACAAGAGTTGACCCCATTGTCTCTAAGCTCCCAACAGTCTGCTGAAGACAAAAAAAAAAAACCAACAAAAAAACCCCCCACCCACCCACCAACACTTAGTGACACTATTTACTATTTTTCAAAAACTCTTCAGATAATAATCTGAAGATAGATCACTTACTTTACATGGAAGCCTTTATTTAACCAAAAATGTCATAATCTATCTTTTCCCAGCATGAA